CTTTACTGCCTCAGAGCAGTGAGCTGGATTACGAACATGATAGGTATTTCTCACACCTTGTAACTCATTGATAAGTCAGAAGGCTAGAGGAAATGACTAATACATTCATCTGGATGCACACCATGTCTAATCCAGGATTGAGTCCAATAGCAAGAAGACAAAGGTGGTAAATATTTGGGAGGCAACTGATGTCCTCTGACCCCTCCAAACTCTAATGTAGCCAACATTGCTTAGAGAATGTTCCAGTTTCCTGCTATTACTTTTCAACATGTTTTATTGTAATGAAAACCAGTTAGAAACCAGTTGAGTAGTTATTTGGCATGAAAGTAAGCAGAAAAGAGATGACTGGTCACCAGTTGGCACATCAAGGACAGCTATTTAGGGCAACAAACAGTGAAAAAGATCAGAATTCCTTGACTGGCACCTTTATACCTGGGTCATTATCATCTTACCACAAAAGACCAAACAGTTACTCAGTTACTAAGTAGGGATAAATAAAACTTCTTTATACTAGTATGAGGTCTTTATGAGAAATTATCCACTATACAGAGGTTATTCTTTACATTTGAAATCACAGAAGAAGCTATAAACTATTCAAGAGTGAATAATAATAAATCAGCAAAAATTTAGTTTTAATAAGATATACGAGAAAGATGGCATTGATAGAAAAACAAGGATAATTCTTGTGTTTATTTAACAAAAACCAGTTATCTGTACTTAAAGCACTAGCAATGTATCTAATGGAGGTAGGATGCTGGGTCAATTTAAGATTTATAATTCTCTGGTAGGCAAATTAAAGATATACTACCCTACACTAGGATGACCACTGTAATGATGAGTTTGTCAAATCCCTTTCTTCTCTAAGCCCATCTTAAAATTATGATTTAAAAATATGCAAATGATACCAATTATGAACATCCTCAAAACTGTATTCTTCTTGGAATTTAATTCCAAATAATTTACTTGAGACATTAAGAAAGCAGAAGAAAAAATCTTATTAAGATGACATTAAGTTGATAAAGGAACACATGCAATTATTAACCATGAAAAGAGAAGATAAAATGTCATGGGTAATTTTATAACAATGTAGAGATTCCCTATAGACACCTACTCATTCTTCAAGAAGGCAAATATAAAATGCTTCTTTGATGTAGATTATAGATTCGTTGGTTATAGATAAAATAGCTGATGACCACAGATCAGACTTTAGTTTATTTTCCTTATTTTCTCAAGGGCTTGCTCCACTACACCAACACATACACACTGGTATGTACCAGCGTTATATAAAGCTACACAAAATACTCAGTGTCACTTCCAGGAACTTAGGAAAACCACAAAAATGTTGGACTGTTTGAAGAAGGACAGTTGTTCTCTCATATTAACAAGTGAAGTTTTGTTGGTTTTTTGATGGTAGCCATTCATATAATGATCCTGATAATAAGAGGAACAGAAATTCTAAGGGAAATTCATGGGTTCAGAGGTCTAAGGGGAGAGAAGTAGCAAAGAAGTGAAAAGGGGGTGGGACAAGGGAAATTTCCATGTTTATTTCAGCCAATGTACTATTTTACCTTTGTAATGTAAAACAAGTTAACATAAATAAAATGTGACTAACTAGAAGAATTAAAATATACCATGAGGCCCTGGTCGGGTAGCTCTGTTGGTTATGTTGTAGGCAGACAAACATGAGCAGAGCAAGGACAATGGGCTAGGTACAGAAGGTCACCAGGTGGAAAGCCCAGGTGCCTAGCAAGGGGCAATCAATTGTAGAGTAGGACTTTGCCCCCAGGATGACTTTACTTCCTCTAGCATATTACTGGTCATGAGGTTTGGATGCCCTGACCTTTCCTCCCTAGAGATAACATCTAGGCCTCAGTTGTAACTCCAGGCCCAGATAAGTAACAAAACCAGCCAAGGCTGACCTCAGGACCAGCTGCATGGAATAATGACCCCCTGTCCTGGTGCCAGCCAATCAACCAGTGGAGACCACAACCCTGAATGGACACACCTGGAAATGTTCTATTAAGATCTTCCCCTAGGACCTCCTCTAAAATCTCCACCCTTAAAACACTTAGGAGGTAAGTGAAATAAGCCAGTCAATGAAGGAAAAATACCATATGATCTCACCCATTTATGGATAATAAAGACCATAATAAACTTTTGAACAAAAATAGATACAGAGGCAGAGCTGCCTCGAACAGACTGTCGAACTACAGCGGGAAGGCAGGGGAGGGTTGAGGGACAGGAGCGGGGGTAAGAGATCAACCGAAGGACTTGTATGCATGCATATAAGCATAACCAATGGACATAAGACACTGGGGGGTAGGGGAGGCTGGGGGATTGTCAAGGGCGGGGGGGAAAAAAAGGAGACATATGTAATACTCTTTGTAATACTTTAAGCAATTAAAAAAATTAAAAAAAAAACACTTAGGAGGGAGGACCCAGTGCCACCCCCCACCCCCCACCCCCACCTTTCAATTAGCTTCCTCACTCCAAGCTCCAAGGGCCCTTCCTTTACCTCTAGAACTTGTTTCCTAAACCTATTTCTTCTAGGAATTACTTTTTCTACTTCTGTAATTTACCCAATAAATATTCTCTTATAGTTTGGGTCTTGCTCTGAATTCTTTCCTAGCCAGAACCCAAGTACAGTGGGACCTTGACTTACGAGTGTCCCGACTAATGAGTTTTTTGAGATACCAGCTGTCTCTTGGCCGATTTTTTGCATTGAGTTGAGTTAACGAGCTCCTTAACGAGCTCGGTCTCGGAACGAATTAAACTCGAATTAAACTCGTAAGTCAAGGCCCCACTGTACCGAGGTTGCTGAACCCAGTTTGGTCTGAGCCCACCTGTCAGGCACACGGTGCCTTTCCTGCCACCTACAACACAGCGTCCTCCAGATACACCAAGGTTGCAGTTCGATCCCTGGTCAGGGCACATACAAGAAAATCATGGAATGCATGAATAAGTGGAACAACAAATTAATTAAATTGCCTTATCCTTATTAAAGCTGAAATTATGTTAACAATAACCATAACCTAGTTTCAAACTAATTAGTTATTCCTTAGCCTAAAGTAGACAAAATTTTTAAGTTTTACTGAAATATTAGACAAAACTTTTAAAAGTAATCTATACTGTTTCCAACATGGATAATGCTACTTATTTAGAAACAGCTAATAAAACCAAGGGCTGCTGTGTATTATACGCCCTGAGCAGTCCATTAAGTGACAAATGACTATTTATTCCAGAAGTTTAAAAAGGCACTTTAAAAAGTCTAATTGTAGGACAACCATCACCCCACCCCCAATCTTCCTAGACCGTTAGCTGCTCAGTGCCTATGAAATTGGGCTGGGGGCTCACAGTTCTTTATATCAGGAATGTTTTCTCTACTCTGACTAGCCACAAAGAGACAGGCTTGCTCTGACCCATCTCTCAGCAGGCACTTATGAGAAAAAAGTCTCTCACCAGATCCTTACACATAATCAGCATTTTTGTTTGCTGCAATCCCAGTCATTTCCCACCTTAGGCCAGTTTTGACATGCAGCAGCCTTTTGCACTGAACCTACATTGTGTGTGCTGGCATGACATCAGCTGTTCTGCCCCTTAGCAGGGTCTGTGAGGAGGAGACTTACAATGGCGCTTTGAGTCACAACAAAGCCCCTTCCTCTCTATTTAGGATTTCTGACATTTTTTTCCTTCCATTTAAAATTCTTTTTCCCATTTAAATTTTAAAATTTTTTTTATTAAGACCATAAAGAAGAAAGAGGGAGTTGGCAGGCCGAGAGGACTAAAAGTTGGGAAGGATGAGAGTTTAAGAAAAGTTGTAAAACTGCTTTGTGGTTACATCTCTTGCCAGCTGGTTTCAGTGTTAAAATGGAGCTAAAACTCATTTACAGAGCAGGGTTCTAGGTTTGAAAATCTTTAAAAATTCTTTCTACATTCTCAAATAGATGAGCCCTAAACACTCAAGAATGTTTCTAGGCAGGAAAGCTCCAGGAACTGTAAGTTATGGGAAGAAACTGACTAAGTCACCCCATATATAATTGAGGATTAGGATAGTTATCTAATTTTTATCTCAGAAAGAACGCTTCATACCATTACCACAAATATAGGGATTTGGGCCAAATATTTAGTTTAAAAAATTCAGCATTCCCATCTAGATGGAATCTAAAGTAAATGATGGCTTTGCTACCCATCATATCTGTTTATTTCATTATAATGACTGTTATAACAAACCATCCTCGTGTACAAAGCCAGATATGCAGGAAAGTATGAGAAAACTGGAAAAATTTACCAGTTCTGCAGCCCTTGGATTGTGTTATAAGTCACCAGCATATGTAACTCATTTTCTAGTTAAGTAATTCCCTCTGGGGACCTGGTCTGCAATCCACACGAAGGATCAAATTTCATTAACAGTTGTAGGAAAATGCAACCCTGTGCATTTGCAAGTCAAAAATCCTGAAGGCTACAGCTAGTCTGGCTATCTTCATTGATTTTTCCTGGGAGAGGATTTTAGCTGATAGAAAACATTTGTTGGAAGGCACAGATGAGGAAGTTGAGAAGAGGAGAAAGGATTCAGCTAGCAGAGACAACTAAGCCTCAGTCTTAACGTTAAACTCTGGCCCTAGCACTCAGCCTGCAGCTGTGTCCAAGAGAACGCTTCAGCAGTAATTCCACCCCCCAAACCGACAAATGACAAAAGACACAGGAAGACAAATTAAAAGGGCAAGCTTACAAAAACACAAAATCACATTGACATCAAACTCTCTTCCTTTCTAAGACATCAACCTGAAGCCCTGTGTGAGCTTGATTTCACAAGAAATTGGGTGGGAACCTCACAAATCTTACCATCTATGCAAATAATTCAAGATTTTTAATTAACTCACTGAACTTGATTCAAGACATGCAGACCACATGCTCCACACTATTCAAACTGTCTGGATTAGAAAACCAGCTTTGCTTAGGTGAATCGATTGTATCAAGTTTGAAATGCTCCCAGTCCTTACCTTGGTTTGAGATGGCTCGCCTTTCTCAAACATCATCTTAAGCCTGTTCAGCGGGACATTATATTTCTCTATTTTGTTTGTAGCTTCTGTATTTTCACTGATTTCGGGCTTTCCTACTTCATGCCTGGATTCTCCTACTAGACAGTTTTCCATTTTGTTCTTTCCTGTTGAGTGGTCTTTGAGAGGTTCACTGTCCTCAATGCGGTGATACGGGTCCTGAATATGGGCTTCGGCAGGTGATCCAAGTCTAGTTCTGGGATGGACTTGTTCCTCTCGGTTAGCTTCGGCCCCGGAGGCAGAGTTGCTCACCACTTCAGCAGGAGGATGGTCGTCTCTGTGTCTGACCTCAGTGCTGCTGTTTCGCAGAGAGTCCGTGTGAGACTCAGCTCCCAGCACTGGGTTCTCCCACTTCTTCTTTAACGCAGTCAGGATTCCCCTTCTAAAGTGCTGGGGGGGATTTTCGGTGTTCTAGAAGAATAAGAAGTAAATGCCAGTTATAACTTGCCTGCTGAAACATTCAAACATGATGTTCTTTGTAAAATGAAAGTTAAAACTCCAAGCTGCCCCGGGTCCACTGGCGTTTCAGACAGCTGTGAACAGTTACAGCCCTGCCACATGGAGAAAAAGCATCCACCCAGGAGAGGGAGAGGGGAAGAGAGAAAAAGTCAGGAGCTGAAGCAGGAAGTGATAAAACAGGATAGCCTTATAAGGACAAAATGAGGAGAAAGGAGAGCCCAGATCTAATGACAGTTACATTGGAGACAAGAGATTTTTTATCTAAAGATCAATGGGGGAAATGAGAAAGAAAAAGCAAACACCAGGTACTTTAAACCCTGTAAATATGCACGAATAAAAGTTCATCATGACATGCCACAAAATTATATGGTGTATCCTGCTTTTTTTGATTATTTTAAAAACGAAAATGCAATATAGCTGAAACTACACAATACATTAATTGTGGGGAGTAGCATCAAGGATTGCTACTATTTGTAGGAATTTAAATTTGCATAAACAATATTTCATTATATCTGACAATTTACATGCATATAAACAGTCATGTTTTATATTTACATAAAAATCTAATTTTTTTCTGCTCTTTTCTACATGTTTGTCCATGTGTAAATTTTCAGTTATCAGAAAATTCACTATTTTAGAGATCCTTTGGCTGAGAAATATCGAGGCTTCATACGAAAGCAACGACACCCACTCTCTTGATTGAAGGACAGATATTTAAATATCTCAGAAGAGTTCACTTTCACCTGGGTCAAAATGGAATTAATTTCAAAATATAAGACAGATAGAAAACAACCCGGAAACTGTCAATGTTGTTCCACAATAACAGAGGAAACATGTTTGTTTAAATAAAATTCAGTGTTGCATATTCTGAAAGTACTCCTAAATAGAGCAGCAGCACCTTCCCAACAAACCACAAATTCCAATACTACCTTCTTGCCCTCCATTCCTGTAGTCTGTGACTCACCCGTCTTTCCATTGAGAAAGAAAAGGCAAACCACCTAGTAGTGAACGACTTTGGGGGAATTAAACAGGATTAGCAGCTATATTGGGAATTAAGATTCCCTGTTCCTCTTCTGAACACATGCTGAGAGCCACTTCATCAAGTAGCTACAAGGCTTGAACACAAGTTACAGAACAGCCTGAGGGGTGGGGGTGAGCTAATGGGGTCAATGGGTGAAAAGGGGACATATGTAATACTTTTAATAAAGATTTTTTTTAAAGTTACAGAACAACTCCTTGATTTTAGTGTTAAAACTTAGCTGACAAGATTCGGCGGAAACATGTATGGATCAGAGATATAAGAAGCATGAAAAGTTTTCTTGTTGGGAAAGAGAGAATTAAAAAAAAAAAAAAAAAGCTCTGGAAGCTGGTGCTACCTTAACTGCCAGCGGCACTCTTGGCTCTGTGTACCTCCTGCCACACAATGGATGAGTCATCTTGGTCTCCAACTTTACCTGCCTTGCCCTTGCCCTGCCCAGACAGGAGCCCTGAGAATCAAAGTGGCATTCTGCCTCGGCAACTGGACACTACTTTTCTCAGAGACAAATCATGTGATCGATGTACATTTATTAACGTAGAAAGATGCTCATAAGATGCTTTTGAGTGGAAAGAGGCAAATTATGAGACAGCATGATTCCATTTTGTAATACACATGTACTTTTCTAAATATAAGCATAGAAAAGTATTCTGGGGAAAAAACATCAGGAAATTAATGGGTTACTCTTGAATCATGAATTATGGGCATTTGTATTTTCTTTCTTTTTTTAAATATATTTTATTGATTTTTTACAGAGAGGAAGGGAAAATTAGACATCTTCATATCACAAAAAAAGCTTCTACAGAATATGAAATAATTTTGATGTTACTGTAAGCAAGGTACATGCCCTTGACTGGAATCGAACAGGGGACCCTTGAGTCCGCAGGCTGACGCTCTATCCACTGAGCCAAACCAGTCAGGGCTGTATTTTCTTATAATAAATATGTACGCGTTGTGTAATAAAATGAATATAAAAATAAAATTAGACATCTTCATATCACAAAAAAAGCTGCTACAGAATATGAAATAATTCTGATGTTACTGTAAGCAGCTTGAAAATGGTCATTTCTACTTTACTCGTGGTGACTAGGAAGAGAGGGATGTGTGATAGATTACCAGCAGTGTCCCAAACAAGGGCCTGGGTGGAGAACATCCCTTAGGGGGCATTTTAAGGAGGAGCACATGTGCTCTTTTATGAAAAGGAACACTTAAGGCTACAAGTTCAAAAGTGCTGGAGTGGAGACAAAAAGGGGAAGGGCAGGGCTGTGTGGTCTGACAGCATTAAAGGCCCCACACCCTTAAGTCATTCCTGGCAGCACTTCCAGGCCATGCCAGGGGCCCAGGTCTTTAGGACCCGGGGGAAGCACAGATGGGGACGGAGCAGAGGCTACAGTCTTTCTGGGGAAGAAAGAGATGCAAGAAGGTACAGAACAAAAAGGACGGCTAACGGCAGGTTGGTCAGCACAGTGAAAAGAGTATTGGACTAAGATAGTCCGGGCTACCATTGGATAATGGATTATAGGTCACTTATATTTTCTTCTCTTTTTCTTTATTTTCTACAATAAATATGTATTACTTGTACATATAATACAGCTCCACCCAACCAAGTGACTTTGGGCAAGTTTCTTAATTTCTGGAAACTACCATACAGGGCTATTGTGGAGCATAAATGAGGCTTTATTTAGCATGTAATGTAGCATTTGACATAAATAGGCACCCAGTAAGTGGTAATTATTATTAGATGGATGATCCTCTCTACCCCTTAAGCCATATCTCACAATGGTGATCATCCACAGTACCCAGTCATCTCCCAAATCCTGAGCTTGGGTTAATGTCTCTCACTGTTCTTTCTACTTTCTCTATAGTCTCTACTGTTCTACACTGTAGGTGTGGGACACAAAATAAAGTAAGATTCTAGTTGATGTCATTTGTATCAAGGTTTTAACTTTTTCCCAACTATTTCCTCAGAATAAGGCAGTGGGAAGTCAAGGATGCTGCAAGTTCTCAAGGGCCCTTGGTTGCTACATAGCCTCTTTTTTCAAAGTCACATCTAGCACACTGTTCATTCTACCCAGCAAGCTGAGAATCTTGGGCAGATCTGCCTCTAGGCCAGTGGTCCTCAACCATGTTGTGGTGACC